GTCTCCAGACTGATCTGCGAGTGAAACCTTGAAAGCTCGCGAGATCAGGATGGTCTCACGAGGCTAGGATTACTTCAGTAGGATTATATAATCAAGTATTTTCCTGCTGACTCATCAGGTTGACTCTCAGGTAACTGAAGCCACTAAAGTGTGTCAGCGTCTCTGTTTTCCATCTGTACCAACAGAAACCGTACGTTTGCAAGATCCCGGGCTGTACCAAACGCTACACGGACCCCAGCTCGCTCAGGAAGCACGTGAAAACAGTTCATGGCCCAGAGGCCCACATCACCAAGAAGCAACGCGGCGACCCGCCGCCCAGGCCGCCGGCGCCCAGGGAGAACGGCGAGAACGAGAAAGGCGGTCAGCTCCACAGGGAGGACAAGCTGTCAGAGAACGGCTCCCCCAGAGTCCCGGAGGACTACCTGCACGTTAAATCCATCAAGACGGAAAACTCAGTGGTGAGAACCAATGGTCTGAGATATTCGGTTCGATTTGAATCAACTCTTTGTTCCGTGATCCGATGCAGTTTACTAAACCAGCATTCAGTTTGTTTCTTTGATTCTCTGCTTGATGGTTTCCATCTCTTTCTCCTTCCATCCTTTCCTACTGGACAGACTTTACTAAGGTGAGCTAACCTATAGATCCGCGTCATCATGACCATTTCATCCCATATTTAACACATTTCACTCAGAAATCACTCCATCAACGCTCAATTGCTCGTCTTAGTCTAGGTCACCAGGGTATCTGGTCCAGGAACGTTCTCCTGGTGTTCCCAAACCCAGAGGCAGTTAGGAAGCTATAAGTGTGTCCTGGGATCTTCACCTTTAAATTCCAGGAGTCAAGGACCAGCTCTATCCTGAGCCGCCTCCATCTCTACCAACATGTCAGCCAATCGGATCCAGGATCTCGATGTTTTGGCACACCTCAGACACTATACCAGACACCGTGCAGGACGCTAGTTTGTCTGATGGTTTGCACCCAAAGCCAAAACACACAGTGCGGCCAGTCTTTGGGGAACACTCACGGGTGAACCGTGTTTCGTCCGGCGTTGGATGAAGGGTTGTAGACGCCGAACAAACTGGTCAGACTGACACACGGACACCCACAGTCCTAGCTAGTTGGTGGTTGTCCCTCTTGTGTTCTGGCGTGGAATAACATATAGTATTAGCCATTCAAAATTTCCCCACTTTTCTTGATGGGTTCTTTGCTAGTCCTTGGCTAGTTCTTTGCTGGTCCTTGGCTAGTTCTTTACTAGTCCTTGGCTAGTTCTTTACTAGTCCTTGGCTAGTTCTTTGCTGATGCTTGGCTGGTCCTTGGCTGGTTCTTTCCTGGTCCTTGGCTAGTTCTTTGCTAGTCCTTGGCTGGTTCTTTGCTAGTCCTTGGCTAGTTCTTTGATAGTCCTTGGCTGGTTCTTTGCTAGTCCTTGGCTAGT